CGGAGAATTTTACCCACACGGAGAAAGAAAAGATGCGTATTTGAAAGAGGGTTTTTTTGCCAGCATCTTTCGACTGTGCGAACAAAACAGAGGTAACTTAATTTGTAAAGCTCCTACAAAGGCCTTTGATTAACAGTTGAGTAAATTACATGTTACGACTTGTTTTTTTCTTTTGTCCAGAGTCCTATCAAATAAGAAAAACAAAAAACTGGAAGCTGTCTAGAGTCACGCCTTCTTCACTTGTAAAACAGCAAGAAGGAAAATATGAAGGGGCTGGCGAACTGTCAACATGAGCCCCAAATCTGTTCAGCATGTCAACATGAGTCATATATCTATTGTTGGGCAGTTTCCCCAAGACAAAACACCAGATAGGGCTTGAGGCTTTAGTTGTATTTATACTGCCTTCTGAAACTGGTACAAACATATTGTTTTATGATGCAACATGAGCTGTACTGCACAGAGATGCATTTAGAATGCATCTGTCCACTGCAGCTAAACATTGGGCGATGGCCCTTGGTGAAGAAAGCTGCATGAGAGTACGTGAATTGCCGCATTAAGGATTCTATGTTTGTTAGGGACCTTCTGCTGCCCATCTGGTCAAAAAAAAACCTCAAGGTTGGTTTTCCCTGCATTGTTGGTTATTATACGAAAACATGTAGTGTACAAGAGCCACGAACTAGAGGATTCAATAATGTGGATGTCTATTATGCAGGGAAACACTGCCCACGCTACCGTGACTGCCCACGAAGGGCTCCCCTCACACCATGAAAGCTGGACCTAGTGTGTGGTAAGTTTGCGGACACTCTCTTGTGGTGCATATTAAGCCGATTTAGTTTTTCATGCATCAAGTCATTGCAAACCTTGTTTGCAGTTGAATAAGTTTTTAAGCCAAACAGACTTAACGATGTCCTTTGACTTCAATTTTTGCACTCTCCTTCATATAAAGTACTTGTACAAAGGTGACTCGACACCTTGCATCTTCCTTATTCCTTGAAAGTTCATCATCATCATCATTTATTTTACTCTTATGGGCCTCTCTCGGGGCATTACATAAGGGGGGGGGGAACAATACAAGTACAAATTTCAATGAAAATGCAGTTCATGGTTAGAGTTTTTTAATTACTAAAACATACAGGTATAGCAACAAAAAACAAAAAGAAAACAGAGCATGTCAAACGAAATATTCAACAGTCAATTCGCGGTCAAAAATATACAGGCGGCAGAGAACAAACAACAAAGAAAGACAAACAGCGATTAAGAGTCAAGGGTAGCTAGTAATAAATCTCTAAATTTAACAGCAACTTGTTCGCTTACAATAGCATCCGTCAAACGGTTCCACTCATCGATACCCGTAGGAAGAAATGATTTATTAAAAGCGTTAGTAGAACCAAACAGACTTTGGATACTCAGGGAATTAAATAGGCGACGAGATGTTCGGACAGGCGGAAGTAAAAGTGAACCATGTAGGTGAGGAAAGCTGTAGTAAAGTTTGTGAAAAAGACAGAGACGTGAAATTTTGCGTCGAGCTGACAAAACAGGGAGACCGAGGGATGATTTGATTTGACTGATGCTTGCTCGTTTGTCGTAATTTGCGGAGATGAATCTGGCGGCACGATTTTGGACGGATTCAAGAATGTTAATTAGGTATATCTGATGAGGGCTCCAAATTGCAGATGCGTATTCCATTTTAGTACGAACAAAAGTTTCAAAGGCCAATTTGCGAAGGCTTGCAGGTGATAATGACAATGATCTCCTAAGATAGCCAAGAGTTTTTGAGGCATCGGCAGCTAGTTTGGTAGTATGCTCGGTCCAGGTTAGTCTGCTTGTAATTACAACGCCCAGGTATCGGTAAGAATCCACTTGGGATAACACTGTTGAGTTTAATGAATACGGATGGATGACGTTAGTGTGTTTTCGTGAGACAGACATGAACTTACATTTGGAAGTATTCGGCCTCATCATCCACTGAGCGCACCAGTTATCAATGATGTGTAAATCTTGCTGTAGTATTAGCTGATCTTCGGGAGTTGATATTCGACGGTAGATGACGCAATCGTCAGCAAAAAGCCGAACCGTTGATGAAATGCCGGAAGGAAGGTCATTTACGTAGATTAAAAAGAGGAGCGGGCCGAGAACCGAGCCCTGAGGGACGCCAGAGATTACTGGAGTAGTATCAGAATGGGCACCACCGATAACAGTGAATTGCGACCGGTGGGTTAGGAAGCACTTAATCCTTGATAAGGTCAGGGGATCGAGGGAAAGTGAAGAAAGTTTGTTGATTAGTCGTTGGTGAGGGACGAGATCGAAGGCCTTTGAAAAGTCGACAAAAATAACATCAGTCTGAAATGACGAATCAAGGTTGAGATGAAGATCAGTCGTAAATTCAAAAAGTTGAGTTTCGCATGAGAGCCCTGAACGAAAACCATGCTGCTTATGAAAAAAGAAAGAGTGATCATCGAGGTGACGAGCAACATGTGAATATATTATATGTTCCATAAGTTTGCAAGCGATGCACGTTAGTGAAATGGGGCGATAGTTAGATGGGTCAGATCGCTTGCCAGACTTGAAAACTGGTACAACCTTCCCAAGTTTCCAATCATCTGGGATGAAACCTTCAGAAATGGACTGTTTAAAAATTATCTCCAAAAATTTACTAGAAATGCTATTAGTAGCCTTTAAAACTTTGGCAGGAATATTGTCAGGTCCGGGGGAGCTGGATATTTTCAATTTCTTTATCAGACTGCTGATGCCCTCGGAGGTAATGTCAATGGGCGGCATTTGTGAAAAATTAGATCTCGGCATGACTGGAATACTATGAAGTGGTTCAGAAGTGAAGACTGAAGTGAAGTAAGTATTCATAACGTCCGCCCGCTGTGGGAGAGGAACGTGAGAACCATCGGAGTTGGTTAAGGATATATTGTGCGTGTTATTTTTAGGGTTGAGAAGTTTCCAAAACTTCTTTGGATTAGTTCGGGCAATGTTAAGCAAGTCATTATGAAAAAATTTCTTTTTAGAGCGCTTCAGCAAGTGAGTGTATTCACGAAGGCATGCGAAATATCTGTTCCATTTTGTTATTGACTCAAAGTTTTTAGCAGCGCGAAAAAGACGTTTTTTCTTTTGAGATAGTTTCTTTGGGAGATTAGTATACCAGGGTCGCTGAGCATCGCCTGGAACACGAATAAGGGGGACGTGGTTATCGATAAGGGTTAATAATTTCCGCTTGAACAATAACCAGTTTTGGTCAACTGTTCAGGTAGAAGCAGACAGGGTGAAGGAGACCAAAAATTTATTAAGTTCAGAGTTAATCGTCGAGAAGTTGGCGTTGTTAAAGTCGCGTATTAATTTTTTCGAAGGTCTTCGCGAAGGTAAGGCAATAGACAATGAAAACAATACAACATTATGGTCACTCAGACCGGGAATGCATGACACTGACTGAATTAAATCTGGGTTGGAGACAAGAACAAGATCAAGAGTGGTTGTGCCACGAGTTGGCATTGTGACTGATTGCGATAAGTTAAAAAGGAGACACAGTTCGAGGAAATCTCTAGATTGTCGTGAACTAGCACACAAGTTGTCCCAGTCAATATCAGGGTAATTAAAGTCCCCGCATAGCAAGAAGTTTGCGTGAGGAAACCGGGATGTCAGATCAAAAAGAACATTTTGAAGGTCATCTGTGAAAGAGTGGTCGCAGTCGGGTGCGCGGTAACAGGCTATAAGAATGTTTTTGCACGTGGGAAGGATTATTTCAACGCAAAGAATTTCAAAATTCGTACTGATTGTCACAGTTTGGGAGGGTAGGCTGTCTTTCACGAAAACTAAAATACCACCCCCTCTGCGTCTGTTCCTATCAAGTCTGTAAGACGTGAAATGGGTGTTGCTGTGACGTAATTCATTGTCGTGAATATCAGGGGTTAGCCATGACTCAGTTAGGATTGCGATGTCGGTGCTGGTGTCCTCAAGGAGAGTTTGCACAGCTTCCTTTTTGGGCATATAGCTACGGATATTCGTAAGCAGGATAGATGTAGTTTGATTAACTGGAGGAGCGATTCTAGTTGGGATGGACTCGAAAGGAGGGGAGGACGGAACCCTGGAAGCACACAGTGAACGCTATGCTTTCAGTTCTATAACTCTGTCCGATTCAGCATCATAAACGAAAGGCTTTTTGTCAACGATAAGCTTGTCCAAACGGATTTTGAAGGACATGAATTTGCTTTCCTGCGCATACAAGAAAAGCTTCTTCCTTGCCAATCTTACACGCGCTGAATAATCCTCGCGTACAGAGAATAATGAATCCTTCAGTTTCGGGCCAGCGGAAAGTATTCTAGCCTTATCCTTAAATCTGGACAGGGTGACTATAATCGGGCGGTTTTTATTGGCTTGAAAGCGGCCTAGTCTGTGTGCTCTTTCAATATCTATGGAAGTAATGGGAACTTCAAGTTTTTCGGTGCAAAACGAGATTATACGCGATTCTGATTCGGCCCATGTTTCGTTAATGACGTCGGGTATTTCAAAAAATAGCAGGTTGCACCGGCGGAGGCGATTCTCTGAGTCATCGCATTTTTCGGCTAGCATTTTAATGCTGGCAGAAAGGTTAGATAGGGTATTACCATTCTCGGTAGTGGGATCAGTGGCACGGGCTGCGTTAATTTGCTCAAGAGCGTCAACACGGGAGGAGAGGCGATTGACCAAGCCTTCCATGTTTGATTGTGTTGCTCGGATAAGGGCCAATTCAGAGAGCACTGTGTCTTGCGATTTTTCAACGCGAGCGATGGCTTCAGCAATACTTTCAAGTGTGGGGATGGACCAGGGTTAGATTCAATGTCTCCCGCGAGCATGAGCAGAAGGCAAACTAAATGGGCATTCACGGCGAAAGAACACAATGATTGACACAATAATCTACGCCACCTACGCCAGCAATCAAGGATGTCAGGGGGGCACGACACCGCAAGTAGAAAGGAATCACTTGATCGAAAGGAATTAGCGTGTTGCAAGTAACTGACCTGCATTAGGAAGGGCATTTTCATGATCGCGTTCGATGCGATGGCATGCCCCAACTGGCCTCCGGGCGAAGGCGGCTTTTGTAGGGATGCGGCGCTAGTAGATGTCCGAGGTTGCCAGGCGATGAAGTGGTCGGCGACTGAAGGTGGCGGATCCGGTTCGGCTTGACATTCATCGTTCTCGTCGGTGAACATAAGTGGCGGCTTGTTGGTGAGGTAAGCAGGAGGTAATCCGGGAGGACTTACGGGCAGCCGGAAAACGCAGGATGTAGTCGAGATGAACCCGAGTAGAACAACCTGCATTAGGAAGGGCATTTTCATGATCGCGTTCGATGCGGTGGCGTGCCCCAACTGGCCTCCGGGCGAAGGTGGCTTTTGAAGGGATGCGGCGCTAGTAGATGTCCGAGGTTGCCAGGCGATGAAGTGGTCGGCGACTGAAGGTGGCGGATCCGGTTCGGCTTGACATTCATCGTTCTCGTCGGTGAACATAAGTGGCGGCTTGTTGGTGAGGTAAGCAGGAGGTAATCCGGGAGGACTTACGGGCAGCCGGAAAACGCAGGGTGTAGTCGAGATGAGCCCGAGTAGAACAACCTGCATTAGGAAGGGCATTTTCATGATCGCGTTCGATGCGGTGGCGTGCCCCAACTGGCCTCCGGGCGAAGGCGGCTTTTGTAGGGATGCGGCGCTAGTAGATGTCCGAGGTTGCCAGGCGATGAAGTGGTCGGCGACTGAAGGTGGCGGATCCGGTTCGGCTTGACATTCATCGTTCTCGTCGGTGAACATAAGTGGCGGCTTGTTGGTGAGGTAAGCAGGAGGTAATCCGGGAGGACTTACGGGCAGCCGGAAAACGCAGGGTGTAGTCGAGATGAACCCGAGTAGAACAACCTGCATTAGGAAGGGCATTTTCATGATCGCGTTCGATGCAGTGGCGTGCCCCAACTGGCCTCCGGGCGAAGGCGGCTTTTGTAGGGATGCGGCGCTAGTCGATGTCCGAGGTTGCCAGGCGATGAAGTGGTCGGCGACTGAAGGTGGCGGATCCGGTTCGGCTTGACATTCATCGTTCTCGTCGGTGAACATAAGTGGCGGCTTGTGGGTGTGGTAAGCAGGAGGTAATCCGGGAGGACTTACGGGCAGCCGGAAAACGCAGGGTGTAGTCGAGATGAACCCGAGTAGAACAACCTGCATTAGGAAGGGCATTTTCATGATCGCGTTCGATGCGGTGGCGTGCCCCCGCATCATTTGTACATTCAATTATTCACAGTTCAGGCAGGTGTAAGGCTTGTCTCTTAAATACACTGGTAGTTGAAAAAGATAGAACTATCTTTCAGCAAAAGTGTGAACTGCCATAACTTTTGTTTTATCAAAAGGTGTATCTCATTTATTATGAAGATGACAAAACAAAAGACATCCTGCAGTACTTTCGTTGTTCAGCCATAGCTATATAATTCCACACTGTTGCATAGTGCACAATGGAAAAGCAATAAAATGTACCAATGTAGCTTTTAGATTGTTTGTGTACATCCAAAGTTTGCTTTTTTTTCGCTAACGAGTGCTGAAAAGAAAATGCCTTCTGTTTTGTGGAAGCCTGAGCTCATAAAACATCTGTTAACTATGCATAACACATCGCCATTGCATTAGATATATGTCTGAAACATCTGCAATAAAAATATTTTTCGTTAAAATGGATGTTTTTTGTTTGCTTGTTCATACTTTGAAATGGTTCTGTTACTTCCATCAAGAAGCATGTGTTGTGGGTCCAGTTGGTTAACTTAAACTGTACTGAGCGTCTTGTCCCAAGCACAGTGTTAGTTTAACTTCTTTAAGCAGCTAGTTCTTCCAAGGCTGCTTATATAAAGTTTTTGTTAAACTGCTACAAAGCGTGCCTCGAGCGCCATGACGTACCTAATGCTGTTTTACCGATAGCAGTAAAGCAGAAGAATCACTTTGTTGTCGAAAAGCTTGCAGACATTGGGAAGCAGGCCAACAGGTAAAATGCTCCTCTGCATGTTGTTTACGTCAGAAGACTAATTTATTGTTTATCAAAAAATCGAACTATGCTCATGTGTTTGCGAAACGCATGTGAAGAAAGAGAAAAGGTGACTGCATTGAATTATATCTGGTGTTTGACCAATCACTTTGTCATTTTGTCTGACACTTTGTCAGAATATGTAGCATTGCTTCAACACTGAAGAATATAAGGCTTTCTATGGCTGACTCAACGTATAAATTCTACAAAATATTTGCAGGGCGAAGGACAAACACGGTCTTGCTGAGGCGTAAGTTATGAAACATCTGCAATAAAATATTTTTCGTTTAAAATGGATAGTTTTTTGTTTGCTTGTTCATACTTTGAAATGGTTCTGTTACTTCCATCAAGAAGCATGTGTTGTGGGTCCAGTTGGTTAACTTAAACTGTACTGAGCGTCTTGTCCCAAGCACAGTGTTAGTTTAACTTCTTTAAGCAGCTAGTTTTTCCAAGGCTGCTTATATAAAGTTTTTGTTAAACTGCTACAAAGCGTGCCTCGAGCGCCATGACGTACCTAATGCTGTTTTACCGATAGCAGTAAAGCAGAAGAATCACTTTGTTGTCGAAAAGCTTGCAGACATTGGGAAGCAGGCCAACAGGTAAGGTGCTCCTCTGCATGTTGTTTACGTCAGAAGACTAATTTATTGTTTATCAAAGAATCGAACTATGCTCATGTGTTTGCGAAACGCATGTGCAGAAAGAGAAAAGGTGACTGCATTGAATTATATCTGGTGTTTGACCAATCACTTTGTCATTTTGTCTGACACTTTGTCAGAATATGTAGCATTGCTTCAACACTGAAGAATATAAGGCTTTCTATGGCTGACTCAACGTATAAATTCTACAAAATATTTGCAGGGCGAAGGACAAACACGGTCTGCTGAGGCGTAAGTGTGGAGCACTTGCTGTGTTTTTATAAATACTTTTTCTATTAATTACTGCGTAAATAAATGTTCTGTTATTATAATACTTTTTTCTTTGAAATTGTTTTTTCTTGCATGTGCATGAATTTAGTATGCAGTGATGACACATTCACACTAGTTAACCTGATCTGTGCACTGGCAGACTTAAACTAAGTTAGCTTCAATCAAGTGCTCACCAGAAACTGTTGGAAACACAGCCAATTTCAAATCTTACCAAGTAAAATGCCAACTGTTTTAACGCCAGCTAGTGTCAGTGCGCCAAACATGGGGTATTAAAGGGCTGACCATGTGAAACAAACTGCAAAGCCATGTGATTACCAGCCAATATGAATTGGTTTGCCAATTGAAACGAACTGGGGGCTGTTTAAAACACGTCTTACGATCAATTGGCCAAATATCTCGAAACTATGGATTACCAGTTGGCTTCAGTGGGTAAACCAACTGACACCAGCTGGGTAACCACTCGCCTACCAGCTAGCCTCAATAGGCTGGTCATTTGGGGCCAACAGGGTTACCAATTGATTACCACTTAGCTTCAATGGGTTAACCACTTGTTTACCAGTTAGCCTCAACGGGCTGGCCATTTGAGGCCAATTGGATTACCAATTGATCAACATCAAGCTGTTATTGGCATACACCATTCGAACTAACTCACTGGTGGCCAACGGAAGCCCCTATTGGACCAATCATGTCTAACTAGGTGACCAATTGAATCTGGAACTTAATGAATGACCCGTTAATTAGAACAGGATCACTTTCAATAGGTGGCGAGAATCCTACTGGTGTAAGACCAATTGATGTCAATTGGAAATTTTTCGATTCAACCCACAAAAGTTTTTTGACAGGGCGGAGTCCCCAAACGTAGGAAAAATAAAAAGTTTTCGTGCAGCCCGTCCTCTTCTTAACACCACACACACACACACACACACACACACACATACACACACACACACACACATTGTATATATATATATATATAGCCAAGAGTTCGTGTCACAAACGACTCCAATTTTCGGAGCATCCGCGGGCCCCATCTTCCAAGGAAGGGCGTTTTTGTGTTGGGAGACGACATCCGGCGACTATAACGACCCAGCGTGGCGCCGGCTCGTCTTCCCTGCCCCTGACCGGAAGGGGAACCGGCGGTCTCAACAAGGAGAATTACTCCCAGATGAGACGGGAACACGTGTACGCCCCTGAAGAGGTTTAGACTGCATCGGCATAGGCAGTTGACGTACAGACAGCAACAAGTGCGGTCGTCGGTGTCGCGAGTCTCGCGTAGGTGGCGAGCACGGAGTGACCCGCGCAACGTATTGAGACGGCTGCAATTCCGGGCACCCTCGTCGCCTACCAAGCCGGCGAGACCTTCAGCGGCACCCGTCAACTCCCCTACGTGCACCAAGGGCTGGTTTGGTCCGTATGGAACTTTTTTATTGTGACTTTTTTTTGCTAAACCGTAAACTTGCTTTAACCAGCCTTTTTTTTTAAATATTTGTAGTGTGCGCTGCGTCGCACGTTTAAATTCTAAAGCGCCACCATGATCATTTTGTAATTAATTTCTAGTGTCTCTCTCCTTTGATTTCCATCTTGTTGTTATTTTATTAATGTTCCGCATATTTGTCTTTAGTCTGTATCTTTTGTAGTGTTTTTTTAGCATATTTTGTTATATAGCTGTTCTTTCCTTTGCGTATCAGTGTTACTCCTCTCTGTTATTTTTCTTAACTCCTGCCTTTGCCAGTGTTCCAATTAAATGCTTGTTTATGTGTAATCGAACTCCGTGTCCGCTCTATGAGTGCGTCGGTCAGGCCCACACATCACCACACGTGCAACCCCGCACGGGTCGACCAACCCGCAAATAAATTCGAAATGTGCCACTTCGAGGCCTTTCAGGCGTCGCAGGCCGAAGCGTAAAGTGGAAGCCTGCGAGTCTGCCGCACGTCGATGTTGGATCGGCGGGGCCTCACCAGAAGTGCGTGACATTATCTGGCGTCCGCGACAGGACTGGCCGACCACGTGGTGGTGTCAGGGAGACTGACGTAACTCTGAGCGTGCAGCATGTAAACGTCCTTTTATTGTTTTGTTGGTGGTCAACTGTGTATAACAATTGACGACACCGTGTTTGACAGGCTTATTCAACAGGGCAAAGCCTTTGGCTTTGTAGGCAAGGAGTTATATAATTTCGTTGAAAAAGAACGAAATAGACTTAAAGAGGAGCGCGATGCCGAACGCATTAGGTACCGGCAACATCTGGAAGTTTTGATGGAACAGGAGCGGGAAAATTCAAGGCTTAGAATTCAAAAGGAAAAAGAGCGCTTGGGACTGTGTGCGGCGCAGTCGGGTCTCATCTTAGCCGCTAGAACGCCCAGTAGCGTGACCGACCGTGTCCCAAACAAGCAGTCTTACCAGGATCATGTTCAGCTACTGCGCCAGAAAATGGAATGTAGACGGCGCATGTTTGAGACCTGGGATGCAAGGCAAAAAAGGGGCAAAGAGCCCATAGGTGCCAAACCACTGAGAGCCGGCCAAAATAACAGTACTGATAAGGCGAACATCGGGTTCACCAGTGAACCTAAAAACTTAGCTGCTGAAAGTCCCGTTGTGGCCACAAAGGCCACTGAAGGCCACAGTGATGGTGACGAGGCGCTGCGCCTGGAGAGTCTTGTTAATACAGAAATGCCATCTGTCATGGACTTGGCACAGCCACCCTGTTTGTGCGTCGCCATAGCAGCTAAATGTGAAGTTCGCAGTACCTCCGGCCCGGTAGGTGAGGACCCCTGTACGGAGAGCGGGGCACAGTCGGGTGCTGACGCACACTGTGAGCTGGGCAATGTTGGGGCAAGTAGTTCTTTCAGGTGCGAGCGGCGCAGCCCCCAGGAAGACGCTTGCATTGCTCAGCCGTCAGTCAAGCTTCCCGCAGGTCAGGGTGTCCACAAGTTAACGGAAAATCCCGACTGTACAGGCATTATAGCCGAAGAGACAAGCGAGACAAGTTCTGCTCTGCAAATGTTGCAAGCGGACTTCTCAAAAGTGAGCACTGGGCAACGTCCAAAAAGAAAAAGACGCCGCAAAAGCAAGAACAAGAGAGAAGCGAAGGGTGTAAATCCACCCATGAAATCGAGAATTGCCAAACGTCAATCAACGCAACGAAAGCTTCGATTGCGTTTTGTGGCACTCGCCAGTAGAGGGGGTAGTCATGCCCCAAACCGCTTGAAGGGTAGGGGGGTGAGGCAGGCGATTGTACCTGGTGCTCCGAGGAG